GGGGTAATTTCTCACCGTCTCTCTGTCTCTCTGACAAGCGCATGTGCCCTATAGTAAAAATCTCTCTGGGGGAAAATAAAAAATAAAAAAGTTATTTGGGAATATTACTTTAAAATGAAACATAAACATATAAAATGTTATGAAATGTTCTCCCCTACTGGAAATATTAGCTGATATGATGTGTTAAATACAACACAGAGTGGTTTGAAGATGGGTGTATAATTACCTATGTAAGAAGATGGTCTTTATATAAGTGAGCAATAATGGAGTATTTCAGCTAGACAGGGTGGGAGACACGGTGGTCAAAATATGTTGATAATGAAAAATTTTAACAAAAAAATCATGAAACATAATTCTTACAAAAAATAGATTTTTGGATAATTTATTATTACCTTCCCCAATGCCTTTCACATAAACTCTATTTTGGCATTTTTGTCATGATGTTCGCCATAGTAGAAAGATGACGGTTAAAATTGCCCCGTGTGCACAAACATATTTATCATTTATCCACGTAGGAGATAAAACGGGAAAACGCCTCGCTTGCCTTCGTCAGCCTCATGCTCCTCTGGTTTCTTCCCTTTGATACTTCTTTCCCTGTTTCACTCTGAATTCAATGAAAATATGGTCTTTTACATAGTGAGGGAAAATATTAATATCTTTAATATTCATGATGAGAGCAAAAGCTGATGCACATTAAAGCATTTTATTCGACACCGAATTTGTTTTCAACGCACCAAGGTAAGAGAGGAAGACACCACGAATTGTCTTGTCCACACCGCTATGAGTGGCTTCGGCAGCGTCTGTGGCTCCTGAGCGTGCAGAGTTAAAACCAGGCACACCCTCCCCAGTTCAAATGCTATGCTCCTGAATACTTTGGCTGAATGAGCAGGAAGCACGAGGTACCCATGAGATGTCACGGACAAGGAAGACGCATGGTGACACGGCAATGGCCAGTCAGCACAGGCGTTCCTGAATCATCTTATGTAAAAAGAAAAATAAATTGGCAATTGCCTCAAAAATACACGGGTGACTGGAGGCGTGCCACAAACTAGTAACAGAAATGACTTCTTAGTAAACTACTGACACGGCCCCCAACTGCGGAGTGAGCGACAGACGTTACTGTCTCCCAGACCCTCTGCGGGCAGCCAAAGAGGCGCGGGGAAAATGCCAACAGAGGCCGAGGAAGCCCCAGGAAGCAGACGGCGCAGGGGACCCGCACCGCCCGCGCTCTCCTTGGGTTGGAACAAGGACAGGCCAGACCACGTCCCGTGTCCCCAGAGCTCTGTTGTCCTGGAACCCATGAACACACCGGGCAAAGTTCAGTGCCCTCAGCCAGAAACACGAAAAGGGCCACACGAATACAAGTACATGTCTTTGTATTGCCCGTACATATTTACCAAAAATATGAGTGGAACAATAGCTTCTGTGCTATTTTTTAAGTAGCCGATGAACTATTTAGGAAAATATTTTGAAATCATGGCTCAAGGGGATCATTTATCCAAACCTGAGATAAATTTGAAATACAAAGGTCCCTGAAAAGGTTTCTAAACATCAAGACTGGCACTTAAAAATATATTATTGACGCTTTCAAAAACTGATCTAATGATTCGATTGGCTCCACTTTTATAGGCACACCAATAGGAATGTGGATCACAGAACACAACAAAATAGCCACCAACTTGGCACGCGCGTGGGACCACAGCTCATTACACAACTTCAGTGCTCAATCGTGTATGTGTTTTATTTAGTCTTTGAGGTTAAGTCTTTAAAAGAATGGAATGACATTTCAATTCTCAGCTAAATTCTGTGAGTGTGATAGGAGTGGTGTGTTATCACCAAGCTCAGGGCATGGTGCATCATGGGAGATAAAGAGCATTTGTTGAGTGACTCTGAGTTGAACCAGTAAGGCTGTGCAATAGTGAGCTACGGCTCTGTTTATGTACAAGTTTTTATCTACACTTTGTACATTCCACAACTCCTTATGTCATTGTACGACTGCACAAAACGGGTGTAATTTTATGGGCTGGAAGGACCAATGCCGGTCTATAAAAACTGGCCCTATGATAAGATCCTGCCATTTACATTTTGTTCTTCAGCTGGTTCTGGGAGGAAGGGTGATTGCAAAGATTCTGCTGGTTCTGCCATTTACAACCCTTTCCCACCGAGCATCTCCTTCTCTCCAGCCAGAGCAAAAGTGCCTTTTGGTTCATGTAAATGTTAGAAGAATTAAGTGTATAAAACATAATGCCGAAGTTAGAGAAATGACAGAAAATCCTGACCCGCGTTTGCTGGAAAATCTGAACTGTCAGAATGCCATTAGATTCAAATAAGATTGTAAGTACTGAAATAAAAACAGAACAACGATAATGACCATCCGTTTTTCGGGCCACTCTGCCATAAACATGAATCAAGCTGAGGCCGTCAACATTACACCCCTTGCCGAAGGTACAGAGGAGTCTTTTCTGCTGTCCGACAGAAGCTGTTATTTACAAGTATTGTTACATATGCACATATTTACAGATTTATAACTGAGAGTTACACACGAGACGGGCAGTGCTGACCTTACCAGGGAAGTATTCTCTGTGTGTCTAGGTATTTACAGCACACAAAACATTTCTATTGCATCCCTCAGCCTCGATCTCTTCTCATCCAATTTGCACACTTCTCTAAACTGTACAGAACTATGATATACTTAAACGTGTAGCAAAATAGTGTATCTTCTCTTTCTACGTATGAATAAAATGCACATTTTAAGACTATTTAGATGACAACGAAGGTGTCACTGGAAGGGAATTAAAGAAATACATTTATTGGCTCATGTAACAATTTCATTTTATTAAGGATTATGGATTACCTTGTGTGAGGAAACTTTTATGGCAAGGTTGTCTTCATGGCAAATTCTGTTCATAAGATGCGTTTGTGACCTTGTATTGATACAATCATGCAAAGCACATAATAGAATTACACTAAAACAAAGAAAATGTTTAAAAAATTAGAAGAGGCAAAGAATAGCAATTTTTGTTGCGATTTTGCTTACTTCCATTAGATACTCCTGTTACTGATTTTATGGACATACCTATTGATGCACTATACTCAAATACTGTACAAAATTGCAAGAGATGCCACGACTTGACTACTTATGTTTCTACAAAAACACCGTCCTAAGGTGCGTCGATTAGTAAAGCCAACTAATAACTGCTAATGTGTCAGTCAAAAGTATTTTAGTCTGCCGAAATCTCTGAATCTAGGCACGAGACACAACGGTTGATGTTTAGTAGCACATTTCAAGGGCATAAAGGTTACCTGTAAAAGATTTTCAAAGGAAAATGAATTTTGCCCCCCTTATTAGTAATTCTATAAAATTGAAAACGGTGGTTTCCGACTGAGCTACGTGTGTGTCTGAGTGTCAGTGTGCAATAATCCACATGGATGGGTGATGTTGAAAGTAGCAGTTTAAAAATGTTCAACTCTTACCAAAACCTCGTATGGTATACAAAGCTATTGTAAATTTGTGTCAGTGAAATTGAAAGTTGCAACTTACAAAAGCAGATTTACATGAATTCGTATCTGGAAGAGCCTCATTCAAGATCGAAAGATGTGCCAAGGAACCGCCCTTTCCTTTAGGATTCGTGGCTTCTGAGTCCTGATGAAAGGAAGCCTTAAGGCAAAATTTGCAGTAAACAGGAAAGAAGAGAATCATAGAAGTGCTCGGACACAGCCCGGGACACCCATGAGTCCTCACTGGCGGGGGTTTCTGGCACAGGTTTCTAATCCAGTGTGAATGGTGCCCCACAGCAGCCAAACTGGATGCTCTCCGCAGTCTCCAGCACCAAGAAAATTTAGTTGATCAACTGCAACGCAACGCATATCTAGAAGGAACGAGACACATTTATTCTTTTTGTTTTAATTTCAGGTCATTTCCAATGACTGAAAGAAGTTGTAGGAGTTCAATGATTACTTTCAAATAAAAGCTGAAGCTAAGAATGTAACGACCATGGCATTCCAATGGTTCCTACACCGTAGGCAAATTGCACATCCTGTCAGGTGACTCGTAAGGATCTGAGTTCGTCATGGTGTGACGTGTACATGGCTACAGATGTGATGCAGAGGAATTAAAAGCTGATTTCGGATCTCTAGTGTTTCTTCTTAGGGGTGCCAAGTTTTCCATGACAGTAGCAGGGATTCTGAGCACTCATGGAGAGAACTAACATCGCGGATATGAAGTGCTGCTACAGAGGAATTCTTTTTTTTAAGACTGACAGTGTACTCTTCCATCATAATCAGCTGATGGTAGAACACACTCCTGCCGAAGACCTAAGGCAGAAGGGTCCACACACAGGGGTACAGGTTTCCCACTGTCATCACCATGGAAGCAGAAAATAAACAGGGGCTCAGAAATCAACTTCACACCAGGTCATCGGGGAGATCTCTACAAAAGGCAATGGCTCTATGGGCATGGGGAGCTTCCTGCCTTGGTTCCATTGGAGTTAGCAAATGCATGTCTCCATTAAAAGTCTACGGATGAGCTATGCCGCTATATACAAACTGCACATGTTGGTTCACAAATTAGCAGTTATTAGTCGAACTGTACAGAGCAAAACCAACCAAGCTTACCATCGCTAAACACCTCCCAAATAACCCTTGCCGAGATTCAAGGACTAACCCCTAATACCGGTTCTCTGTTTAAATACGTGGCCCAGTAAACTAAATTGAAAGTACCAAACAAAACTGGGAAAACTATCCTAGACATTCTATCAATCTTGCTGACACTGTTGAACGTTTTCTTGGCTTCGGCTGGCTTGTTTTCCGGCTTCCTGTTGGGTTCTGGCGTGGTGGCGCTCTTGGAGATGGTGGAAAGCACTGGGTCTTTGGAAAGATTCGGGGCGTAGTTGGCCACAGCCACCGCGTAGGCGTTGTTCTGTACCATGACAGAGGCCTTCTCTTTTTTCTATTGAGAAATACAAGAATGATCAGAGTGTGGGCTGAGCCTGCATGTGACCTGTTTCCATACTCCAGTTCAAGTTCTGATAAAAAGTATCCTGGCACACATTATTACACGTTAGAGAAAAATACAATTTAGGGGAATACATAAAAGGGGCATATTAAATCCAAAAACCCCTAGGGCCATAAAACCCTTTGAATACAACTCAACCTTAAAGAACCGTTTTTTTAAATCGCTCACGTGGTACATACATACTACAAAAATACATTCTTTTACTCTGATGAGTCACCGAAATAACTATTCAATGAAAGAGTGAATGAAAGAGTGAAATGTAGAACTATTTTAACAAGAGGAATGATCTTCTACAGTGAATGCTCCCAGATTTCTTCCCTAGTAACAGGATTCCCTTCTACCTTACACGGAAATCACACAGCGACGCCTCACTCAGTTGGTGGGACGCTGTCACCTTATGCAGATGGCAATGTAAAACCATACTAACAACACTGAGAAAATATTAGATACAAACTCTTGGGTTTTTGCTTTGCTCATTCCAAATCTGCCTCACCCTATAATCTCCAGTTCCGTTATCAGCAACACCATTTGGGCCACTATTACCTTCTGCCTGGATCAGACACTATTTCTTTTCCATTTAACTTGGCCTTTGGCAATCCTTCAGCATGTGATAACCACAAGGATCTTTTTTGTTTTTTTCTTTTTCTTTTTTTTTTTTTGGAGAGATTTTTGCTATAGGGCGCGTGCACTCGCCAGACAGACAGAGAGAGACAGAGAGACAGAAAGCGAGAAATCACCCCCCAGGGAGGATGGTCACGCCGCAATCCCTTCTCCTCCATTCTCCTCTCGGGATCTTGGGCACGCACGCACACGCGCCCGGCGTGAGTTTAAGCCACCGGGTCCGGGATGCAAACCGCGGTCGACTACATGGGAGTCCAGCAACATAGCCATTATGCTAACTGCTGGTTCCCACCACAAGGATCTTTTAAAAACATCAATCAGATCACGTCCTTTTGGAACTTCAATCTCTACTCACAGAATGTGAGTATCCCTTGGTCACCGGGAACTAACCCACGACAGGACTGCAGCTCTCAGAACACAGCCTTACGTGGGGCCTGGCCATGCTGGTTCTCTGGCCTGGAATGCCTTCTCTCTATCGTCTTCCCATGACCAATCCCACTCCTGTTCTGGTCTTGGTTTAAAACTCACTTAGTCAGAAAGCCCTTCCCTCACCAGTGTATCTAATGTAGATTTTGTCCCCCATACACGGCCTTTCACAGCGCCCAAATGTCTTTCTCTCATGGCATTTTTCCAAAGGCAAGGGTGCTTCCTTAGTTGGTGACTGACCGACTGTTCCCTTTCTCAGAAGGACTGCAGTCTGAGGAGGGTGGGGGCTGCTCCTGCGTGGCTCTCTCTGTCACCTTGCCCTCACGCGAGCCCTTCCACAAGGAGGCACAGAGAATGCAGGTAAATTAATGAAACCTGAAAGTAAGCGCAGTATTTATCTGTGTTTCTACACTAATATGAATATATTGTTAGATATCTAAACACAAAGAAAATTGAGCAAGCAATAAATTATCCAAAATATATACTTGTGTAACTCAACAGATAAGAGGACAAATTGGTCTAGAATAGAATTTTAAGTGTAAGTTATTTTAATGAAAAATTCCCCAAGTGTTCAAATAAGATAAGCAAGGAGATCTGGGACCAGCAGGGGGCATAGTGTTTACACCACTGGATTCCCAAGTATCAATTGCAGCTTGAGTCCTGGACCTAGTGGACTGAAACTCACACTGGGCACATGCGCGTGCGTGCCCAAAACCCCAAGAGGAAAATGGAGAAGGGATTGTGGCGTGGCCATCCCCCCAGAGAAGGGTGATTTCTCACTTTCTGTCTCTCTCTCTCCTGTGAGTGCATGAGCCCTATCAAAAAAAAAAAAATCTTAAAAAAAGCTAAGAAAGAAATCTGAAAGCTCAGAAGGACGTGAACACAGGCCTGGACTAGCCATCCTTCACTGGCCTGGGTTTCTCCCTCTCCTCCTTCCACTGCTAACAAGATAGTCTTCCAGATCTGGCTGGAATATAAAAGAAGTAGGGATGAAGAATTACCATGTGTAACTTTACAACTTTACAAAAGCAACAAAACAGCTCTCCCTCAGTACTAAGGCCTGTGCAGTTTCCAGGTTACAAGTGGGGAATGTTCTCCAAATGTGTAGCTGGGAAGGGAACGAGGGCTAAGACTTTTAGAACTCAAGATGGCTTCAGGCTGACAAAACTTCTACCCAGTAGGAAGGAAGTTCCGCTGTTAACCTCCTTTACAAGTTCAGAAACGGAGGCTTAAAGGCTTTACGACTTGACAGTTCTCCTCTCCACTAAATGGCTGAAAACGGCCAGGTACTTAGATAGGTTTGATTTCCAGACCTCTGCTTGTAAACACCATCCTAACTGACTTTCCACCTGAGGAAGCTGTGTGAAAGTAGGGAGTCCTTTCTTCTTAAAATTCTCCAGACAAGGTTGATATCACTAGGTCAACTTTCAAAAAGGACTTTTTAAGTTACCCACAGAGCGTCTAACGTACAGGGTTTGTATTATTACTTGGAGTATATCTAAACATTTCAAAGAGTTTCTCTGTAAGAATTTGGGCCTTGGGAAAATTCCTTCACCTCTTCCTGCTTCAGCTCCTAGTTGGAAAGAAAAGCCAGAGGGTGAGACCAAAGCCATGTTGAAATGCTCTATGAACGAATGATCCGAGGAACGTTTGAACCGCACTGAGAATGACACTAGCACCCTGTGACAGTCATAACGCCTCCACACACCTCAGTGACCACTGGAGTTATAACGTAGGCCATTTCACTCGTTTTGCCTTTGGACCTGTGCAAGGGAGGTTTCACAGAAAGGGGTCACTTAAGTGTGACCAGGAATTACCATGTAGGACTTGGGCCTTCAGCAGGCAAGATATAAACGCCCTTTGTAGTGACAGGAACCTTCAAGGGAAGCTCTATGTGAATCCTTACCCATGCCTCTTGAATTAAACTGGTTATGTACGCCATGCTGCAAACTCCCAACTTGAGGTCAGGGAAACCGGCCACCAGAACAGACATTTGAAACAACTGGAGGCCACTGACTCGGAGTACCCAGAGGGCCAGACGGGCTGGACCAGCTGAAGAGCAGCCCCGAACACCTGTGTGGTGCCGACTCTATAAACAGCTCTGCTAAAAATCACTTCAGTATATGTTTGTAACTTTTACCGACTTAGTTCTAACACACTTTTTAAAAAATGACTCAAAGTATAGCTTCAATTTCCGAATGCAAGTGTAAGGTCCAGAGGGGGCTCCGCACTTAAGGAGCTGATGGTGGGAACCAGCAGTTAGTGTAATGGCTATGTCGCTGGACTCCCACGTAGTCGACCATGGTTCGCGTCCCGGACCCGGTGGCTTAGAACTCACGCCGGGCGCGTGTGCATGCGTGCCCAAGATCCCGAGAGGAGAATGGACGAGAAGGGATTGCAGTGTGACCATCCCCTCTGGGGGGTGATTTCTTGCTTTCTGTCTCTCTGTCTCTCTGTCTCTCTTTGTCTGTCGGGCGAGCGCACGCACCCTATAGCAAAAATCTCTCCAAAAAAACAAAGGAGCTGATGGCGGTGTAGCAAGCACAGGGCGACGGCCTTCCAACGTGTCTTTACTGAAGACCCAGCACTCGGCATCTGAATTTCCTGTTAGTTCACTGGACAAAGGGCAGGTTCCCCACGGGGCTAGCTCCTCCTAGTTCCTGGCCATAGCACCGCACGGCGCCGCTCTTGCTCACAGTCTGGAGGAAGGAACTCCCCTCAGTCAATTTGAAAACAATAACCACAACCCTGTAGTAAAGCAAGCTGCTCCTTTGTTTAAAATTAAAATAATGTATACAGAGAAAAAATAAGGTTGAATTTCTAGCTGACTTATAACCCTAAAATATTATAAAGGAGAGTATGGAGATTAAGCCCACTTGGCATATCTTACCACTGTTCTCTGTAAGGTATAGGTTTAATGGCGGTAGCACCAAGGAACACCCATACTCTAAACCGTTACTAGGAGGTGTTATCTTGTTCTGCTCACAGCCAGCTTCTCTGAAATGAAATGATACTGAGAGAAGCTGAAGTGCAGAGAGCTCTGTGAACACAGTGTGAGCCTCAGATCAAGCCAGACCGTCAGCTGGCAAGCACTGTGGGCCATGTGACTTCGACCCACCCTTACTGAGTCTACTTTACTCAGGGTAGACCCTCAGACCCTTGAAGACAAATAGTTCAACACAATGTATGCTGTGTTAACTGTTCAAAACAGTACTCACTGCCACGAAGGAATATTTTAAAGAAATGTTTTGGAGATATTATTGCAGTAGGGTGTGTGCACTCACCAGAGTCCCAGAGAGAAGGAAAATGAGAAATCACCCTCCAGGGGGGATGGTCATGGCACAATTCCTTCTCCTCCATCTCCTCCCAGGGTTTTAGGCACACACACACACACACACACACACACACACACACACAGCAAGAGTTTTAAGTCACCAGGTCTAGGACTCAAATGCATTTGACCATAAAGGAATCCAGTGCCTTAATCACTACAACTGCTGGCCCAAAGGAATTTTTAAATAATGCCCATATCTAGACAATTCTTCTTTATTTTGAAAACTAGAAAAGTTCTGGTAGTTCTTACTACCTAATTTCTTACAGTCAAATTTAGTCTGATGCTGTAGTCCACTTTAAATAACTTCAATAAAATCATCGTGGCCAAAAATATACAGTGCAGACCGGGGTTCTGAAGTTAAAAAAAAAAAAAAAAAAAAAAGTAGTGTTTAAAGTTAAGAATGGAACCAATAGGAAGGAGAACGGGAGAAACAAAAGCGTACTAATACTACTGTTTTCTATTAATTTAAGCAACATTTTGCTTTGGCTACTCTCCTGATACAGCACCTTTCCAGAATTCTGTACTACAATGTTTTGCTATCCGGTCCAATGGTAATTAAAGACATAAACTATCCAGAAATGCATTCGGCTTTCTTGCACTTCCTGCCCTGATCTGTACACCTCCCATACTCCCATACTCCTTACGCTGTGAAGGGCACCACAACTCAACTAGAAACTGGTGATTAACCCCACGGTGGCCCCCTATCAGATGCGGTATACCTCCTTAACATCCGTGGGCTACAACTGACTGAGCTTTGAGTAACACCTTGGAGACAGCTTTCTACCAGCTGCAGGGAGGAACCTTTCTATGCCCTTCCAAAGGAGGCTAGTGCTCTATAATGGCACACACGTGCTTCTTGAAGGCACAAACTATGTACCGGAGAGCTCCTGCCATACAGCGCCCTGCACAGAGCAGACTTAAAAAAATGGCTTAATGAAAAATGAATGGTCTGTATTAGAGTGATTACGATGATAAAAAATGTGTAATGAAACATGAAGTACAACACAAGAGACTCTGTTTTATAACATATAATACATACCTTACTAGACATTAGATTAGCTAGTTATAAAGAAATTAGATTAGCTAGAAATAGAATTCAATAACTTATTCTAAAGTCTGCTACGTAATTAATCTGAAAGCCATCAATTTCACATCTATAGACTTGAAAGACTGGGAACTAATCAAACCAGCCAACCAGAACACAACACCTCAAGACATCGTTTTACTTGTGAATGAGGAATGAGACCCACACAAGTGGAAAGGGGTCGAGGACGTGACTTAGACACGAAACCAGTGAATGTTTTGTACACACTCTGGGGGACAGAGTAAGCAATGCTGTTACACAGTGTGCTGAGAGCCGGTTGTCACTAAAGTGGAGTAAAAGGGAATATACCCCACAATCACTGATTTTCTATTCTTAAGTGATGTGTCACAGGGTTCCAACTATTTTGAGTTTTTTTTTTTTCTTTATATTAAAGTCTCTGGATACAGACTTTTAAATGCCAAGTCTAAAAAACTCCTGGTCGCAGAAATCGATGTGTCTTATGATGGTGCACCTTACAGAGAGGAGGTGGGGCTCTCATACAACCCACTATCACAAGATCTGGAGAAAACCTCGGGTCTCCGAGGGATGAGTGTATTCACATGTTCTTTCTAGCACGTGCAAGTGTATCCACATAGTCACATGTTCCTTCTAGCTCGTGCAAGTGTATCCACATAGTCACATGTTCCTTCTAGCTCGTGCAAGTGTATCCACATAGTCACATGTTCCTTCTAGCTCGTGCAAGTGTATCCACATAGTCACATGTTCCTTCTAGCTCGTGCAAGTGTATCCACATAGTCACATGTTCCTTCTAGCTCGTGCAAGTGTATCCACATAGTCACATGTTCCTTCTAGCTCGTGCAAGTGTATCCACATAGTCACATGTTCCTTCTAGCTCGTGCAAGTGTATCCACATAGTCACATGTTCCTTCTAGCTCGTGCAAGTGTATCCACATAGTCACATGTTCCTTCTAGCTCGTGCAAGTGTATCCACATAGTCACATGTTCCTTCTAGCTCGTGCAAGTGTATCCACATAGTCACATGTTCCTTCTAGCTCGTGCAAGTGTATCCACATAGTCACATGTTCCTTCTAGCTCGTGCAAGTGTATCCACATAGTCACATGTTCCTTCTAGCTCGTGCAAGTGTATCCACATAGTCACATGTTCCTTCTAGCTCGTGCAAGTGTATCCACATAGTCACATGTTCCTTCTAGCTCGTGCAAGTGTATCCACATAGTCACATGTTCCTTCTAGCTCGTGCAAGTGTATCCACATAGTCACATGTTCCTTCTAGCTCGTGCAAGTGTATCCACATAGTCACATGTTCCTTCTAGCTCGTGCAAGTGTATCCACATAGTCACATGTTCCTTCTAGCTCGTGCAAGTGTATCCACATAGTCACATGTTCCTTCTAGCTCGTGCAAGTGTATCCACATAGTCACATGTTCCTTCTAGCTCGTGCAAGTGTATCCACATAGTCACATGTTCCTTCTAGCTCGTGCAAGTGTATCCACATAGTCACATGTTCCTTCTAGCTCGTGCAAGTGTATCCACATAGTCACATGTTCCTTCTAGCTCGTGCAAGTGTATCCACATAGTCACATGTTCCTTCTAGCTCGTGCAAGTGTATCCACATAGTCACATGTTCCTTCTAGCTCGTGCAAGTGTATCCACATAGTCACATGTTCCTTCTAGCTCGTGCAAGTGTATCCACATAGTCACATGTTCCTTCTAGCTCGTGCAAGTGTATCCACATAGTCACATGTTCCTTCTAGCTCGTGCAAGTGTATCCACATAGTCACATGTTCCTTCTAGCTCGTGCAAGTGTATCCACATAGTCACATGTTCCTTCTAGCATATGCAAGTGTCTGCACATAGTCACATGTTCTTTCTAGCACGTGCGAGTGTATCCACATAGTCACATGTTCTTTCTAGCACGTGCATGTGTATCCACATAGTCACATGTTCCTTCTAGCACGTGCGAGTGTATCCACATAGTCACATGTTCCTTCTAGCACGCGCAAGTGTATCCACATAGTCACATGTTCCTTCTAGCACGCCATGCTGCCTGTTTACAGTCACTGCAGCCACCACCAACAGAAAGCCCGCTGGCTATAAAACAGCATGCCCCCTGGCCAGGTGCTGCAACTGTTCACTGTCTGCTCATGTCCTGGGAAAAGTGATACTTACAGAAGCATGTTTGAAGGTTAAACAGTCCATCCACTTCTCTAAGTACTCTAAAGTCTTTCCTTGGATTAAATTGGGCCATGAGAAAGCTATATACTTGGACCATAATAGCTTAGCTCCTTGAAGAATTGCCTTCACTGTGTTGTATGTTAATATAAAGCCTTCAGCTTTTATTGAAGGGGACTACAAAAAACATCAATATGAAATCCATTACTATGTTTATCGGGAAAAATTAACATCCCTCGCTACAGAACCCAGTTTTCCCTAAAGTAAAACTTACAGCATGTAAGAAAAGTACAAGCCCTGAGGAAATGTGTGTGTGTTTTTGGTTAAAAAAAAAGAAAAATAGCTCCCTCCCAACCCTCATGAGTTAGGTTAGTCACCGAGAACTTCAGAATGTGAAGTCAAGTCCCATAGCGACCAAGTGCCACCACCTGCTGTCCCAGTGGGGCCCCGCTGCCTCTGCCTTCCTTCGCCCTGATCCCCTTCTATTTCTAACCTACTGAATTATAACGAAGTGTATGCATTCTTTTGATAAACTGCCTGAAATTCTTCTGGAACAAGGAGGATGCTAAAAAATGCAAATAAATGAATAAATACACTTGAAATGTGATGTTTTCTATGAGCTAAATACAGTGACTCACACAACGGTGAGACATTCCTTAGCAGTTTGGACATTTGCTGCTATGCCTGGGTTTTAATTTATGATCTAGTGTTTTTATATTTTCCTTAGCCAGGTTAGATTCACTGACTCAGACTTAGAAAAGAAAACAACCTCAAGAAATTAAACATTAATCATTTTCAAAAATGTAACTGAAATGAGCTATGTGCCAGCTGCCGTGCTAGGGGACAGACAGGAGGAGAATCAGACAAGACTATTCTCTCAGAACTTGGAACCTAGTGTTCAGAAAACATCTGTGCACAAGAAAACCACAACCTCGCGTCGTGATATAGAAGTGCTATGGAAACACAGTGGCAGGGACCAGTGACTTCAGGCTAGGAAGTTCTGAGATAAGGACTAGTTAGAAAGATCTTAAGGAACAGGTCAAAGTTGTCAGGGAAGGGAGGACATTAGCACCAGAGGGGTCAGCTCGTCCAACGTCATAGAAAGCAAGAAGCAAAGAGGGGCGTGTCTGGGGGGTCATGGTGGCTCGTGATGGTGAGAGGAAGAACATGGGCATGAACTGTGGGTCTGTTTTGGGAGCACCCAGATGTGGGATTGTGACCAAGTAACTTGGCTTGGTGAATTCTCGTTTCTAAAATAGAAGTATCCCCCAGGTACACAGAGGTCAGTGCATGATAAGTGGCAAGGACATGAAACCCTGCCATGTTACTCATCACACAGTGCATGAGAAAGGTACATACTTGGGCTGTCGCAGCTTAGCTCCTTCAGGAACTGCCTCTGATAATAAACTGAAGAGCTCAAGAGGGAAGTGATCTCAATCGTGCTTTCAAGAATAACCCTGGTGGGAACCAGCAGTTAGCGTAATGGCTATGTTGCTGGACTCCCACGTAGTCGACCGTGCTTCGCGTCCCGGACCCAGTGGCTTAAACTCACGCCAGGCGCGTGTGCGTGCGTGCCCAAGATCCCGAGAGGAGAATGAAGGAGAAGGGATTGTGGTGTGACCATCCCCCCTGGGGGGTGATTTCTCGCTTTCTGTCTCTATGTCTCTGTCTGTCTGGTGAGCGCACACACCCTATAGCGAAAACCTCTCAAAAAAAATAAATAAATAAAAAGAAAGAAAGAAAGAATAACCCTGGTAATAATGCAGAAGATGGATCAGAGGAAGACACGAGTAGAAACAGTAAATTAACCACGGAAACACGAGAGATGGGGAATCACCGTCTAAGGAGGCAGAGAGAAGGGACAGGATTTAACAACGGTTAACATTGAGAGATACTGCCACATCGCCGTCATAGGAGGGTAGGTCATGCCGACACGGGAGGTACTGATAGGCCTAGGCAGGGAAAGACAGAAACCTGGATTAGGAAGCTACATTCTGCGTGCTTGTGTGTTGTCTCCTCATCCATTTTTATAGTTATGCAGAGATGGACGTAATATATCCAGGCAGAATATTCCATCCAGGGAAGTGTCCAAGGAATGGGTTGGAGAGACGGTCCTGGAAGCTGGAAGGAAGTTCTGGGGCGTGTTTGTAGATAATGAGCCCAGACAGGCCAGCCCTGGTGGCTCTGGGTAAAGCAGAGCTCCACCACGCTGAGGCCCCAGGGATGTCCACACTCCTGCACTGGATCGCTCTGTCCATACTGGGCGCGTGCAAGTGAGCCTTCCTATGACCTGAACGGGCGAGGTGGGGGAGCATGGTGCGGAGACCCTGTTGGGGATGTCTGTTTGTCTTTCTCTCAGAGGAAATAAATGGATGAACATACAAAAAAGGATAATAGCCCTGGACAGGAACACGAAACGTGAGCTGCAGAGTCTGATTTGGTGATACCTCATCGATTCACAGGGTACTTGCTGGGTGTCTAATGTAGGCAAAGCACTGGGCAAAGGGCCAGGGATAAACAACTTCTTAAAATAAAACAGGGGCACTGTTGTCTCCATCAGGGGAGAAGCTGAGATATGCTTCTATAAGGGCCCCAGTGCAGAGGAGCAGGGTCCTGGGCAGCCACGGTGGGGTGGGTGGGGGGAATCAGACATTTCCTGCAGAGCCCATATTTGTGCTGGGACCAGTAAATGCATGGAGTATGCTCAGGGTTAAATATTCCTGCAGACATTGTCAGCACAATGCTTAAAGAGAGCGTCAGACAGCGAATAGTGAAAACAAAAACATCATAAAAGAAAACCGGAATGACTATCTCTGGGGATATACAAAAGCAGATGCTCGGGAGGCTGGATCCACTCTGAACTCTGGCAGGGAATCTCGGAGCGTAGCGTGAATAGCGGCAGCTTCCAGGATGTGATGGAAGGAAGCTGACATTCCAAGGGCTGTTGTAAGGAGAAAACGAAGAAAACAAAAGCTGCCAAGTTGGGCCTGAAATAGCGCTCTGGACCATGCAGGGGCGAGGTGCCATTTTGGGAAAAGCGAAAAATGTTTATCTGACCTTCAAGTATGGAGGTTACTGGTGCCCTTCAGTAAGTGACAAGTAAATTGATGACAGAGGTCTGAGAACTATACTGAAAAGTGAGAAGATGACGTTGTAAGCGATGCTCTCAGAAAGCTCGAGGAGAAAAAGGTAGAGTCTGAGGATGGGGAAAGGCAGTGGTTAGGATCTGGAAAGGGGGAACAGCACTTAGCATAATGGCTATGTCGCTAGACTCCCACACAGTCAACCACGGTTCGAGTCCCAGACCCGGTGGCTTAAACTCATGCCGGGTGCGTGTGCATGCGTGCTCAAGATCCCGAGGAGAATGGAGGAGAAGGGATTGTGGTATGGCCTCCCCCCTGGGGGGTGACTTCTCGCTTTCTGTCTCTCTGTCTCTGTCTTTCTGGTGAGCGCACATGCCCTATAGCAAAACCCTCTCC